GCCATGGGCCCACTCCCCAGCGCTGTAGGTGACAGTGATGACAATGTTTTCTCAGGGGACAGAAGGGGGAGAAGGAACCTGTGGAAGTCAGGTGCACAGAGGATCACCTACTAGAGAGATGCAGGGCCCCCCAGAGGGGCCAAGCAATGCCAACATGGCAGAGTTGGCCTCGTCAGCGGAGAGAGAGGAACTGAGCAGGGCAGAAGGCACCAGATGGCGGTGCAGACAGGAGCTCACCATCGAGTCAGGGAGTCCTGGATGGCGTTGGTGAGCGCGTGGCCCAGGTGCAGGGAGCCTGTCACGTTGGGGGGTGGGATGCACATCATGAAGACACCTCGGGGATTTGGTGCTGACAAGCTAGGGCGCTGGCGGCAGAGAAGGAGGCAGAGGCTAAGGCACACGGCACCCACATGTGGGCCTCCTCAGGCAACGGCTAAGGCACACGGCACCCACATGTGGGCCCTCCTCAGGCAACGGGTCCTCATGTCCTGCCCTTCTCCACCTCAGCCCCCTCTGGGCCTGGGCAGCAGTAACCACTCACCCCATACTCTGGCTTGAAGAAGCCCTGCCGCTCCCACCAAGGGTACCAGGCAGCCTCCACATACTGAGGGCTGTAGGAGTCGGGCATGGTGCCACTTACATCTGAGAGAGAGAAGAGAGCCTACTGAAGCTGGACAGGCTCAAGTCAGTACAGAAGGAACAGGCCATAGGAGAGGCATGAGGCTGTTCTGCAAGCATCACTCAGCAGACCGAGGCCAGGGCATAGCAAACGGAACACGGAAAGCAGCAGCCAGAGGTGGGGTCCCTTCTGTAGCCAGTACCTTTCTTTTCCCCGGGTTGGGTAGGGAGGTCATAGGTAATGACCCCAGGATCCCGTTTCTCCTTCTTCTCTGGTTTTGGTTTCTTCTGTTCAGAAGGAAGAAGACACAGACCCAGACATCAGCTGCTCAGCAAGATTTCTGTCCCCTCCCAGCCCCATCCTTTGCCTTCTACCTCCCCAGGTGGGGGCTGCTGCAGCTGGGTCTTCTGCTTCTGCTGGAATTTTTCGAGCTTCTCCCGTTTCTTGGCTTCTTTCTTGAGCTGAGCAGCTGTTTTGGGCGTCGCAGTGCCTTCAGGGCCTGGAGAGAGGCAGAGACATGCAGACTCAAGGCTGCAGGGACCCTCTATGAACAGTGCTAAATCTAAGAAGGGCTATTTCTAGTGCCCTCAGGCTCAAGCCCTCCCCCTCCCACAGGCTCCCCACCCTAAGGGCCCAGTCAGTTCTAAGATAAAAGACAAAGCACGTTACACGGAAGGTCCCAGAGGACCATTTGTCCCTCTGCCACCCATCCTCCTCACCTGGCTGCTGAGTGACAGACCTGGTCCCCGAGTACAGGACCACTTCTCCTAGCACAGCCCGGAATTCCGGTTGCCGGACACAAGTGTTAAACCAGCGAGTCACATTACCCCAGATCCGGCGGACAGCAGGGTCCAGGACCTGAGAAGAAAACAACAAAAAAACCAATTATCTTAGTCACGGTGCAGCAAAGCCCAATGGTGCACACCTGTTCTCCCCAAACTGCAGTGACTCACATATCTGAAGGGCAGCAGTAAGGCTGTCACAGCAGCTACGTCTGCCAGTGTGGGAGCATCTCCAGCCAGGTAGGTGTGCAGCCGAAGCCAGTCCTCCAAGGGGCTCAAGGCCTTGCCCAGGGCCCCAAGGGCAGCCTAGCAGGACAGGAAAAGGACATGTCAAGGCTTACATGCTTCTAACGCAGTGATTCTCAACTTTCCCAATGCCAAGACACTTTTATACAATCCCCTGTGTTGTGGTGACCCCCAACCAGAAAATTATTTTGCATTGCTACTTCATAACTGTAACTTTGCCATTGCTATGAATTGCAAATATCTGTGTTTTCCAAAGGTCTGTGAGATGATGTTTGACTTCCAAGGGGCTGTGACCTACAGGCTGAGAGCCTCTATGATCATTTGGTCTCCCTATTCCCATGATCACCAGCTCTTGGGCTAACTCCTTCCTCATCAAATGGTCACTGTAAAAGTACAACTGTTGGGCCTGGCGGTGGTGGCGCACGCCTTTAATCCCAGCACTCATGAGGCAGAGACAGGCGGATCTCTGTGAGTTCGAGACCAGCCTGGTCTACAAGAGCTAGTTCCTCAACAGCCTCCAAAGCCACAGAGAAACCCTGTCTCAAAACAAAACAAAACAAAAAAAAGTACAACTGTTAGGTGTGCTGCTGCTGGCCTTTAATCCTAGTTCTCAGAAGGCAAAGGCAGAGAGATTTCTCTGAGTTTAAAGCCAGCCTAGTGTACACAACCAGTTCCATACCAATTAAGGCTACAAAGTTAAGACCCTGTCTCAATGAAACACCAAAACGTCTGATTGGAAATGTAGGTCAGAGGGGGAGTGTTTAGCATGTAGGAGTCCCTAGGTTTGATCTCCACATGTATGTATGTATATATCATAAGACTGGAGAGATGTAGGACATTGATCAGTAGTCAAGAACACTGGCTGCTCTTACAGAGGCCCCAAGTTTGGTTCCTGTCACCCATGTGGTGGCTCACAACTGACCTGGTTATACCCTTGGTCTCCCTGGGCACACATACATGCAGACAAAATACAGGCATAAAATAAAAACCGAATGCATACACGCATTTGTGTGTGTGTGTCTGTCTGTCTGTCTACAATGAAGCCTATCTCTCTGTCTGCAATGAAACCTATCAGGCGCTGAAATTAAAGGATTACGTACGTACGTAAGTACGTGAAGCAGCAGTCTAGACAAAACAGTACATTTCTAGGTATGGAAACCACTACCCTGCAGGAAGAAAGGTGCTCTCTCCGCATTGACCCGTCAGGATCTGAAGCCGCAGGCCAGGGCCTGTGCCAGCCACCCATTCCTTTACTGAAGGAGCACTCAGTGTCCAGCATGCACTTCTGCCCAAGGCTTGAGTCTGCCCTGGAAGGGCTCACAGACGGTGAGAAGCCACCTCCCTTCCTCCCCTTCCTCTCCCTTCCCTCCCCCTGTTGCATGTCCCCTTATCTCCTCCCGGCACCTATCATTTCTCCCTTGGTGTTTCCACATCTCAAAACAACTGTTCACATCCACCATCCCTGCCAGACTCTCAAACTTTCACTCAGTGTACTGGCTAGTGTCACACAGGTTGGTGTCATTTGGGAAGAGGGGACCTCAACTGAGAAAAAAAATACCAGACTGTCCCCTAGGCAAGTCTGTGGGGACATTTTCTTAATTAATGAGTACTGGGGAGGCCCACCCTGGGAAAGTCGTCCTGGATGGTATAAGAAGCAGGCAAAACGAGCCGTGCACAGCCTGCAGGGCCTGAGCTTCGGTCCCTGCCTGCAGTTGCTGGCCTGACTCCCCCGGTGATGGAGTGTATAACTGAGCTGCACACGTAAACAAATCCTTCCCTCCCCGAGTTGCTTTTGGTCGTGTTGTTTGATTACGGCAACAGAAACCCAAAGGCCCTCGGAAACTTTAAAGTGCCTGGCACAGCTGTGAGTTCCAGGGCGTCCGGGGAGGGCTCCACGGTCCAGGCACTCCGCGACCACACCGCTGAGGAAGAGATTACATCACCTCATATGCTCATACGCTCAGTCGGAATTCAAAGCGCTCCCAAAGCCACGGCCCCGGCGGCAAACAGGGATCCCAACACTCCTTCCACACCTGACAACCGACTTGCGCCCCCTCCTCACCTGGGGATCCTGACCGGGACTTCTGAGCCCCAGGGCGGGCAGCGTCGCCCCGCAGGCCGCCGGGATGAGCTCCGTGTCGGCATAGCT